AGTTTGGCTATTGTGGACATTGCTGCTATAAACATCGGGGTGCACGTACCCCTTCGGATCCCTACGTTTGTATCTTTGGGGTAAACACCCAGTAGCGCAATTGCTGGGTTGTAGGGCAGCTCTATTTTCAACTTTATGGTACTGGCACAAAAACAGACACATAGATCAATGGAACAGAATAGAGAACCCAGAAATGAACCCTCAGCTCTGTGGTCAACTCACCTTCGACAAAGCGGGAAAGAATGTCCAGTGGAAACAAGACAGTCTCGTCAACAGGACTGGTTTTTTTCAAGCCCTTCCGAATGCTAGGTTTCTAATGAGTGTTTTCTTCTGCAGGAGAGCACACAGCTGCTACAAATGCCGTCAGTGCAGTTTCACAGCTGCTGATACTCAGTCACTACTGGAGCACTTCAACACTGTCCACTGCCAGGAACAGGACGTCACTACAGCCAACGGTGAGGAGGACGGCCATGCTGTGTCCACCATCAAGGAGGAGCCCAAAATTGACCTCAAGGTCTACAGTCTGCTCAATCCAGACTCTAAAATGGGAGAGCCAGTTTCCGAGAGTGTGGTGAAGAGGGAGAAGGTAGAAGATAAGGATGGGCTAAAGGAGAAAGTTTGGACCGAGAGTTCAAGTGATGACCTTCGAAACATGACTTGGAGAGGGGCAGACATCCTGCGAGGCAGCCCATCCTATACTCAGGCGAGCCTGGGGCTTCTGACGCCCGTGTCCGGCACCCAAGAGCAAACCAAGACTCTAAGGGATAGCCCCAATGTCGAAGCTGCCCATCTGGCGCGACCTATTTATGGCTTGGCTGTGGAGACCAAGGGATTCCTGCAGGGGGTGCCGGCTGGCGGAGAGAAGTCGGGGACCCTCACCCAGCAGTATCCTGCGTCGGGAGAAAACAAGTCCAAGGATGAATCCCAGTCCCTGTTACGGGTAGGAAGGTTTAATTTTTAAATAATTCACCTATCTTGAAGGGAAAATGGGAGGACACATATTCTCTAGATTTCATATCATTTAGTCTTACCAACTGAAACTAAATGATCTGTCTCAGTCTGGGAATTTATACTCATAAGGCCGAAGTGGCAGAAAGTAGCTCGTGTGTGTGTGTGTGTGTGTGTGTGTGTGTGTGTGTGTGTGTGAACTCTACACATCCTTGATACAGTGGTAGGCAATCACTTGTTTGTCACTGCTCTTAGCTCAGATTGAATGTTGGTTAATCATTCCTGGTGATTATGCAAAACAGCAAGGCCACATTTGGAGAAGGGGGGTTCAGAATCCCAGAAGATTGCACATCTGTTACATTAAAATAGGTAAATGACTTTTAAATTTTAAGGTGGTGTGACACTGTATCTGGTTAACAAGGAAATTAGCAGAGATTTAAATCACTAGGGATGCAGAGCCCATGGTGAGAGGTTAATACGGAAATGTAGGTTTTTTTAAAACTGATGGTATAATTATGTACAAATGACAATGCTTGTTGTTGTTTAGTTACCAAAAAGAAGGGAAAAAATGAGATAGACCCAAGTGTGAGTGGTGTGAAGAGCATCCAAAGAAGAGAAAGACCGGTGTGTTTTATATGATCCAGCTTTTGTAGGGAGAAAGACATAGTCCCATGTGGAAAAACAGAACCTCTGAGAACGATGAGATCCTTGCTCTCTCTCTTCATGCTCTGTAGCTGTGTCAAGAAATAGTTTAGATTTTGAAAATTCACGAACTCTCCATAAGTGATGCTTGCTTTTTGCCTAAGGCACCCCCACTTCGACATTTCACCTTGACTCTGACAAAGTGTTGAGCTTTCTGCTTGATTTCGATGCTTTGTTGGTGCCTAGAAGGTAGGATCAGAAAGCAGCTAACCTTCACAAAAGGGCCAGTTAGGAAAGCGAGCACAGCCAGCCCAATGCTTTGACCTGTGGGTCAGAGACCACTGAGGTCTCTCTGGATGGATTCTGGAGAGAAAAATTTCTCTTTCCAGTGTCTGCGTGGCTTCTCTACTCCCATTTCCTGCAGATCCTCTGAAGCCTATCTGCGCTTCTCAGGTTTCTCTATTGGAGTTGAGCAGTGCCTCTTAGAGGTGCACAGTTAATTATAAAAGCTGTTCCCTTTCCTGGCTGCAGTCATGCCCTGGAGCTAAGAGAAGGGCTTGAATACAGAAGAGGCTGTGCCCCTCGTACTCCAAGAAACAAAGAATCCTTCCTGCAGGGAAGGCTCAAGTTGATTATAAGTAACTTTAAAAAGAAGAGAAATAGTTCTTGTGCCCTTCAAGAAGGGTGTTCAATTCAGGGAGCTTCTTTCCAATACATACATATGGAGCTGCAATTGTAAATGTTCATTATTTTCTTAGCATGTCAGGACTCCTCTGGTCTCAAGTGGCTCTTTGGTTTTTGGTTATAAGGCAGGGTTGCTATGTCTTATGTTTTTAAATTTCATATCGCATCTTGAGAGTGTGTTGTAATTGGGTGCTTTACATCCGTATCACTAGAGCTCCCCACCCATTTTTTTTTTTTTCCCATTTTAAAATAGTTTTCACCCGTGACATCTTCATTTGATACCAGTTGTTTGGTACCAGATTGATGCCAGCCTCTTTTAGACTGTTTCTGGAATATTACCTTTTCTGCCACTATGTACATACACTAAGAATTTGGAACGATCAATCATTTTTTATATGGTTAAATCTAAAACCTGAGCCTGAGAGTGTTACGTTTTTTGAGCAGACTGGGGATAATGATTCTTTTCTAAAAAGTTCTTTTTCTCAATTCTATCACTTCCTTAATTCCCTGACTTCAGAGTTTTCGTTGCATCATTGCAACTGTTTCTTTAGTTCCTCCATATTAGCTGCTGAAGTACGAAATCTTCAATGAGAGACCGCTTCACCATGTCCTACAAATAATCAAATTCCTAACCATGGGATTTGTCATCTTTTAAAGGCGATCATCTAAATTTCGAGAGATGACAAAATTTACATATATAAGCCGTGGATCATTCTTCCTTGACTTTTGTAAAATGTGACTCTTTAAAATTCATATTTTCATTTTATTTTAATATTGCTTTTGGGAATCACCGCTTTATTTGGAAGAGGAAGTGTAACTGATTTAATTTGTGCAGTATTTAGTGAATTAAAACTTTTTAACGTACACATATCTTAGCTGATCAGCTTTTTAAGGCATATAAGAGAAACAGCAGAGCCCATTCTGAATGTGAATTCGACAAGAATTCTACTTTGGCTGTAGAAATTGGCGTTGCTGAATTATCATACCAAATTCTCAGTTCATTCCTCTGCCATCAATAAGGAAAGACCCATCAAAGTATCACTATCATATTTATTGAGGGTAAAAACACTGCTTTAATTTTATAGTTGTAGGGGTCTAGTTGTTAGTGAAGGTGTCCTATAAAAGTTTATAAATACACCATAAAAATACGCAAATACAATTTACATGTAGTGAATGGAAATATAGGTGTCTGTAAATGTGTATCTACAGAATATAATATTCATATTTGAGTATAAATAGAATAGAACTTGAAATTATCTTGCTATTTGGCCTGTTTATTTAGAAATAGTAAGCACTTTGAAAAAAGGAAAATTGGTTTAAAAGTCATTTTATTAAATAGTGCATACAGTGTAGTCTTAATAAAGTGTGCTTATAAATACATTTATACATGTAGTTTCTAATATTAAAAGTAAAAACTTGACTATCAACTGACTATACAAATTGATAATGAGAATTATGAGAAATTTGTGCAGCAGAAAATGTTAATTTGAAATAGTTCAACCCTATGCTGGTTAATAGTGGAAACATTTTTAAAGAGCAGGATGAAAGTATTTAGGGCCATTCACAAGGCACACAATTATAGTTGCTTTCAGGATATTGGTCTTTCTGATACATGTTTTTAACTGGTTTCAGTTATGAAATTTTGCTGCACTCAAAGTGAGGAAAGAAATATAAGAATCATAGAGAAGAACTAAAATTTCAAAATATTTTCTCATTAGTTTTTTTTCTTTTCTTTTTTTGTTTTACATAGGTGTTTGGCTTTTAGTTTTGCGTTCAATAGCAGATCGTTTATATATATTTTCACATAGCAAATGTTTTGTATTTTTCCTTTGTTACCAGTATGAAATTGATAGGTTACAAAACATTTTAAATTGTGTATGTGATCTGTGTGGACCACTGTGCTTTGAGGATAGCAGGGGGCACATTAACATAAGCTTTATCTTGTAAATTGCTTTATGAAAATTAGTTTTTTGTTGTGTATTAACTACCTAATATTTCTGTAAACTCATTGGGTTTTGTTTTCTTTTATGAGTAGGAAGAAACATTAAAGACTTTAGACTCTGCTAGAAATAGTCCCAAGTTTATATGAAAACTTTGTTACTCTTCTAAAACTTCTAGAAGGATTTTATAAACATGAATAAGTTCCTGAAAATGTTTTGAAAATACAGTGTTTTCATTTAAACTTAAGATTTGGCTCTGTGAAGAGGTTAACATATTTAACATTTTCTGTGCTAAAAGCAAAAGTTAATTGGTTTTAAATATTCAACTTGATGTTCCTTTCTCATGTTAAACTAAACAGTGTGTAGGGTAGTCAGAACGCAGTATAATCGTGTGCCTTTTTCTGGCCAGTTCCTTCTATGTTGTATATTTACACAAAGGTATTTATTTATTCATTTTGTAGACAGACTCATACAAATGCAACTATAGTAGTCTTATGATTTCCTGCATAAGGAATTCCAGATCTCATTCTTATAATTGACGTTTTTGATTGGGTTTTATGACATAGAAAGCTATGTCTTTTAACTGATAACCACATTAATAGGAACAAAGCATCTGTCATTAAATTTCACAAAGATTTTGCCAATATCAAATGCAGTTTTTCATTTAATGAAATGCAGAAGTATAATTGGGTTTAGACAGTAACTGTGTAGGGGGAGTTTATGGCAAATCCACATCCAGGTAAACATCTGCGTGTCATAGATAAACTCATCAGCTATGATAACTCGAATTCTCCCATAGGTTCAGACACCCTAGTTATCAGTCCACTTTCTTCATGCATCTAGGGGAAAAATGATTTTAGATTCCACTGTAAATTTATTTAGGGAAGTCTGTCTATTTCAACATGTACATTTTGCACCAGTTGGTTTTGGCAGAGACCTTAAGCCATGGGCCATGGGAGATGGGTTCCAAGTTCTGGGAGTTGAGTTCCAAGTTGAGCCACTGACTGTCAAAGGCAGGGCCTCCCAGGATCTCCGTTCATCCCACTCTTGGGATTAAAATGCCTGCCGTCCTCACAGAAGTGCTGTGCAGCTTAGTTAATTAATGTTTGTCAGGCCATTTGAGATCGTCAGATGCAGGGTTCTAGATAAGTGCAAAGTAGTATGATTATTTGTTCGTTTTGTAAATGTGATACCAAGACAGCACAAAGTAGATGTTATTTCCCCCTTGCTTCAGTGGTGTTAAATTTATAGTTTAAAGATTGTTGATACCGGACAGTCTATTGAGATGCAAAAATGTTCTTTTGGGGACAGTCCATTGGCAGCCAAACAGACGTTCAAACAAGCGACAGTGTTGAATGCCTTTACAACCAGTGACAGAAGATCGCAGGAACTTTTTTAAACTAAAGATGATTTCAAGGGAAAAGTCTGATACTGGTTTTTTTCCTTCACCTTTAATGAGAATAAAATCAGTTTTTCAATGATCTGCGGGTAGTAGTGATGTAATAGAATGTTTATGTATATAACTTTTTCTAGTTCCATTTGAATATTTACATATAGGTATACTTAATCCCAAAGAGAACAGACTATACCTAGAAAAATGGGAAGGATACACCACCGTAATCACTGGTTATGAAACTTGTAGTTTTTAGGGCACGTTGATAAATTCTTTCTTTAGGTAACTGTTGATATTTGATTTGTTGGTATTTGAATAAAGTATTAAAAACCCTTTACTATATCCAGAATTAACAATCCTTGTATATCTCTGTGCTTCTGCCTTGCATAGATGAATTTCTGTTGTCCACCTGTTAGAAAAGGATATGATTTAAATTCAAATGTAATATAGATTTATTTAAAAAATACAATCCATTCATTGACTTAGTTAAGTGTAGCGGTGAACATGACCGTTTTGTTTTTATTAAATAAAATCTAGGTAGCTTGATTTTATTTCCTTTATTGGTTATTCATCTTTTATATAAGTATACCATTTTTGACAGGAGATCACAACTAAAGCCAATTTGATACATGTATGTTTGGTTTTATTGGCTTGACCAATGGGATTTTCTTCTATTCCAATTTCTTTTTCATAAGTCAGCTCCATTGACTCAAGTATTTTTGGAAGCTTTTTTTTTTTTTTTCCTTTTTTGTAACCTAGACTTTTTGTGAAGTCTGGCATAGTTCTGCTGGCCCAGGTTTGTAAAGTAGGGGAAGCAGATGTATCTTTTAGTGAATTGGGCTGTAAGTTTGTAGTTGCTGTGAAATGGTATCCTTCAGCACAGTATCTGTTAATTATTTCCTGTATAACTATCTTTTGCTTGGCTTCCTTTTCTCACAGACTGCATGAGTCAGGAGATAACAGGGCCCCAAAAGGAACCCATTGTTGAATGTTCTTTCTTAGATGTTGGAAATGAAGAGTATATAGAAGGTGGCCCAAGTTTCAGGAGCAACAGATGGAGAATGATTCAAAAGTGTGGCGGCCGTGAGCTACACAGCCTTGATGTGAATGTAGTATTTTTCTGGCGAAGTCCGATCTGATGGACAGATTTAACAGAACTGTTGATTACCTAAAATGCCAGGAAATTTTTTTATTTTGGATTTTTGTATATTTTGTTATTTGATGCCAACAAAAAAAGTAAATACTACTTCCATTGTCATATTCTTTACCCTCTTTTGCCTTTGACTGTCTTAGGGAACTTTCATTAAGTATTTACACACGAAGACACTGGTTACTAGAATGGACTACTGGTTAGCTCAAGGAAGCTTGCCAAGCAGGATACTGCTGCATCTAGTTGTGTTATGAGTTCAAGGAGATACAAATAATACCTGGGAAGTTTGAAGAATCTGTTTCTTTCCTTTTGGTGAAGCAACATTCTCATTTATAGATGTTTGTAATTAAGCATAATTTTTTTTTTTTAAAGATTTTTATTTATTTGACAGAGAGAGACACAGCGAGAGAGGGAACACAAGCAGGGGGAGTGGGAGAGGGAGAAGCAGGCTTCCCGCCGAGCAGGGAGCCCGATGTGGGACTCGATCCCAGGACCCTGGGATCATGACCTGAGCCGAAGGCAGACGCTTAACCGACTGAGCCACCCAGGTGCCCCTAATTAAGCATAATTTATAAATAGAATAGAACCAGGGATATGACTTTATTTTGGAAAAAAATCCATAATACTTTATCTTAAGGCATATATATATTTTTTTATGTTATTAGTGATTAGGAGTAAGGCAAAGGAATCTTTCTTTTGTTTTTGTAAGTATAGGACGTTTGTGAGTGATAAATTGAGTGGTTGGTATCATTATTTATGTCAGAATGATCAAATAGCTCCCACACATAATTTTACATGTTAACATTCCTCTTTAAAAAGATAGTTTCTCAATTGAGAAGATTTACTTTTGGCATATTAATTATGAAAGTGATGAACCATTTTATACCCTGGAGATTTATTTGTAACATCATGATTAACCAGGAAAAGCAAAGAATATATGGATATATGTTTAAAAGGCAAAGTAGACTTTATAGTTTTACTAACACTTAAGATGAGTTGTGATTATAAGTCAAACTTTTATGAGAATTTGGATACATGGAAAGATTTTTAAAATAGATTTCTAATAAGCACAATATTTTGTTTGAGAAAAGTGATGAGATCCATGACTGTGGTTTATTGAATTCCATTTGCCTGTAGTGTTATATTTGTTTACATTTTGGTATTCGAGACTTATACTAAGTCATGAAAAAAAAAGTCTTGGTAGAGAAATGTCCCATAAAATAATCTGTTTTCAGGGAATCAACTTCAGGTGTTTAGTCAGTAATGCAGTAGGACAGCATGAGAGTACCTCCTAGCTGCCCAATTTGAATTCTTGATGCGGAAGACAAAACCTGGGGAAACTACGTTAGAACAATTGTACATGAAAGCATTCAAAAAACAGAGAATTTGGTTAGTGTAGATGGATACTTCTAATTGATTGTCACGTAATTTAGTATTTTATTTTACAGGATTAAAAGTTTACGGCCTTTCCATTAGTTTATTATTGAATTAACAACTTTCATCCTCACCAAACCCTTTGAGGTTGAAGCTGTTATTATCCTTTTTATTTAGGTGAGGAAACTGAGGCAGAGAGGTTAATTTGCCCAAGGTCACATGGCTTTTAATGGCAGAGATGCAGTTTTGATGAGGACGCTTTGAGTGTGGTCCATGCTCTTAACCATTGCACAGCTGCCTTTGACTCTCCATGATCTGTTAACAAATTCCTGGGGGACTTTCTGCAATTTCAGAATAATTTGTTCCATCTAAACCTACACTCTTTGTCAAAACAGAAAAATCACTCTTTGAAAGCGATGCAAATGATAGATGCTTTTCAAAAAAGAAGTGTCTGGGGGCGCCTGGGTGGCTCAGTCGGTTAAGCGGCTGCCTTCGGCTTGGGTCATGATCCCAGGGTCCTGGGATCGAGCCCCATGTTCGGCTCCCTGCTCGGTGGAGAGCCTGCTTCTCCCTCTCTCTCTGCCTGCCTCTCTGCTTACTTGTGCTTTCTCTCTCTGTGTCAAATAAATAAATAAAATCTTTAAAAAAAAAAAAAAAGAAGTGTCTGTATGACCATATAGAACACTGAAGAAAATGAAAACCAGTCCTAAGTTCCAACCCACAAATACTTTTCTATTCCTGTATAGGTTTCTAATTTATTTTTTATATGCATGCAAATATATATTGTATTCAAGTATAGGATCATTGCCTCACTCTTTTGTAATCTTCTTTTTTCCTTTAACAATATATTGTGGACATCTTTTCCCATCAACAAATATAACTTACAATATTTGGTTTACTGCCTCCATGTTGTGCCATGAAATAGTTACATCATAATGTGCTCAGTAGATCGCCTCCTGATAAACATTCAAGTAACTTCCAATGTTTAGCTATAAAGAAACTTTGATGAACGTCCTGGTATATGTTATTTTATTGTTTTATCATTTCCTTAGGACAGTTTCTTGTAATTACAGTTACTTAAATGAGAAAATACATGACTGATAACAGATAATGTTCAGAGGACTGGATTTTGACCCATCCTCTAAATGGTTCATTTTTAAAAATACAAAATAAATTCATTCATGAATAACATCCTAGAAATATTTAATTAAGGTTTAACTGTTAAGCTGCAAATTAACATATTTAATGATGAATGCAGATAATTAAGGAAAAGGCAAATAATCTTTAAGAGCTATTTCTTACCATGTTTATGGTAGATAACAAATGACCAATAGCCAGGACTGTGATGTGATATGCTTACATATTACATATGAAGCAAAGTTTATTTTGTAGAGAAATTTATTTTCAAGCAGGACCCATTTTCTTAAGCAGAATTGAGTCATGGGCAGTCAACTCAAATAGGCTTGCCCTTTTCAGGGAAGAAATTGCTTTCTTTTTTCTTGCTTTCATTTTGTCCCATGGACAGTGTTCTGTGCTTCACAATTTCTCAACTCAGTTTTAAAGTTTTTATTTTCCTTGTGTGTGTAATAGATTTAGTGGTAATGGTGTGGGCTTCAAGGGAATATAACAGAGAAGAAGTTGGTTTTTTTCTTTAAAATATGGAATTTAATGATCTTCATTGCTGTGTTTTGCTGAAATATTTATATTGATTTGTTAGAAAGTACTTTTCTTTTATAGGATTTTCAGAATGTCAGCTAGAACATTCTGTCTTTATTATTTATTAATAAAGTATTAAAAGGACAGGAGCACGAGAATACTTTCTCAACTAGCATTGAAGTTGTGCTTGTTATATGCCACAAATAGAGAGTTTCAGGCTATTCTAACCAATTAATAACACTTAGAAAAACATGTATGATGGCATTTATATATATAACTTAAGTTAGACTCATGTATGGGAATTTGAAAATGCACAAATATTACATTTGAGAGAGCTATTCTCTTAAACATAATTATTTGGCTTTTTTTTCAAAGACTCAGTATAGAACTTTAAAATTTCTTTCCTGGTACATTAAAAAATGAAAATACCTTCATTTACTTATAACTTTTCAGAAGCATATCTGTTTTGCAGAGTATGATACAATGGAAGCAAGGCTGGCCATACTTTAGGAGATACACTTCTTTGTTTTTCCTCATTCTTTACCCCCTGAAACTTTCTTGGTCATTCAAGAAAATCTATCTATTTTAGCTGAATTATATAACTTACTCAAAGAAAGTTGGAGCTTTCTAAAATGTGGGCTGTCTAGATAGGTAATCTGTGGTCTACAGATTAATTATCCAGTTCATGACTGTCAAAATTTTAGGATATATATATATATATATATCGAAAAAGGGTCTTTGCTGATTTTATATATATATATATATATATATATCTTATATTTTATATAATATGTATATAAAATGCAGGATGGTTTTTAAAATCAAATTGAAATTTAGAGCTTGCCTCAAGTTCACTATGTGATGTAAATATTTCTGAAGACTCCAAAATAGATCCTAATTATTCTTTGAGTAGGATGTCCAGGCTGCCGAGGTTATAGTTAGGTTTGGAGGCTGGTGTGTCCCCACCTTTCATAGGCAGTTTCTAGCTGTGATTTAGGCTTGACCGGATTTTATTTTCTGGTAAAATTAGATTTCATGTTTTCTTTTTACTCTTCCCTTGTGATGTAGTGGAAAGAGGACTGGATTTTGGAGGCAAGGAGGTTTTGTGTTCTAGACTCACTTTGTGACTAACCAGCTGTGTGACCCTGACTGAGTCATTCAATCCTTGTGCACTGTTTCCTTTGGAAAATTATAGAGATTGAAATATACAATTACTCATCTCTTTAAAATTACAAATTCCAGGGCCAAGTCAATTTTCTATAAAACCTTAAACTTTCAGGTCTGTGAATTGATACCTGAGGCAACTTTAAGACAGAAATCTTATATTTTAGACTTAGTACTGCTGGTGTCCAAAGAGATATCACATATTTGATATGTGCATTCTTAAATCAGATTTCCCTCTCATGGCTAGGAATCCATAAGTTATTAAAAAAAAAAAGGCACTGTCACAGTGCAGTCTGAAATCTTCAACAGTTAATTGATACTGAGGTTTATCTCATATAAGAAAGCTCAGTCTTTCAAAATAAATTGTTTCAAAAATCATGTTATTAAGGGGCTGCTTGTGTATGATGATAAAGGGAAGTATATGCAATGAGAAATAGAATAATTCTGGGGAGAATATGACAGGCTTAAAGTCTATTTCCTCAGTTTCTTGGCATTGAGTGGTGATGCCTGTTTTGTTCAGTCAGATGTTCAAATCAGAGTTTTGGATGCAGAAACTAATTTTAGTAGGTGGGGTGCAAATTTCTTATGAGTCCATGAATAGACTCTAATCCCAGCTGTTTCATTACAATTATAAAAATAAAATTGGCTGTGAATCATTCAAACTCTATTTAATGGATGTGAATAATTCAGTTTTGTCCCACTGAAATCTTAAAACTATAAACCTATCTTAGATTTTTTATGCTCCTTCACAGTTAGTATCCCATTATTCATGTATGACTTACTTGAAATATTGGT